AATAGATGTTTAATTATATGATTTTATTGCATTACAAGTGATGTGGATTCTAGCTTCCATAGTATGATCTTATGCTTAAGAATTTTCATATTTTTCTCTCTTTTTTTTCCAATTCCATTCAGCACAAAAGCTAGGAGACAGAAATATCTCCTAGATTTTGTGAGCTGACTTTTCCAAGTCACACAAAAGAAATATTGTCCTGGGCAGATAGGGAGAGACTGTTGTGTAATAGAATTTGATCTTTAGCATACACTTTGTCAGGGCTCCAGATTTCATGGCTGTGTACTTTATTTTTATTCTTTGTTCTGAGCAAGTTTGTTATTTTCCTACAATCTTATGTATTTAAAAATTTTAATTTTGTGTTTTATTAGTATACATTTGCAGTTTATGGGATCACAATCACTGGGGTGTGATTACAGTTCACACCACAGCTTGTTTCTTTTTTTCAATCCCCTCTCCCTTTCCTCTTCCTCCCTCCTCCTTTAGTTCCTCTGTGCCACTTTTCATGCTTGTTGATATTACTAATCTTAGCTCATGTTATGGCATATAATGTTTACATGAATTGAGGTTATTAGGCTTCTGTATGTGAATATTTTATTCATAATATTTAGTTATGCTACCCAGCGAGGGTTTGAGAAAAATATAAGCCACCTCTCTTTAAACTTTCCCTTGCTTTTATGCAACTTCTTTTTTGTGTTGAGAGTTAACATTCTTTCAACAAATATTTGTTGTGTGGCTAATCTGTCAATGCAAAAGTGAATGTAAGACAAATGGAAAGATCCTTGTTTTGATGGACTTTGCATCTTAATTGCCAGAGGATGTAACATGTAAAAACCACAATGAGTAAATTAGAAAGTAGTTAAATGCTTACAAAAACTATAAAGAAAAGCAGTATTGGGGGCAGAATTTGGGAATATGTATAAACTATAGAATATGAGGGAATAGTCACAGTAGAGTAAATTGTGAAAGGTGGGAAGATTGGGTAAATCTATGGCCTTCCTGGCTATCAGGCTGGTCACCCAGCTCAGGTAACCCCTCTCCTTGACCTGAGGAGGGCTCTGTAGCCCCAGTACTTGTCCTGTCCTGGACACCGGCAAGGGGAAGATGAAACAAATGGAGGCCTGCTAGGTAGTGGGGGGTCAGGTATTAAATCCAGCCTCTCTCCATCTGCCCCATATTCTGATAATTTCCAAGAAATAATTCTATAAATGTATTATTTTAGCAAATTCCTGAATTGAGAGTCCCTCAGGCATATCCAAAACTGATGCCCACTAAGATATTTTGCCTACAGTATTCATTCTTTAGAACAACTTACTATAATATGGCAGAGTCTAGATGAAGTTACTGTAAAATTAAAATTTGGTAATTGTTGCCTAAATATTATTATATGTATTTCTATTTCAGAATTTGTCTCTACTAAGTTATTTAACTATAAATTATATGTGTACTTGTCATAATGTATATATAAATCTTTAATAATTAGAGGTAGTGAATAATGTTCAATAAACTACTAACATCTATTCAGTATTTGTCATGGTTTATGTCTGTGGCTCCCAGGCTTCATGAGTTAGCATTATGTATTTGTGATTGGTTCATTGTCTAGTGCTTAGATTGACGATGTCAGTGCTCCACCCACAAAGGGGTGGAGCCAGGATGTGATGTAATGGCAGGAAGAAGGTGTGTCTTGCTCTTTGCTGGTTCCAGCTTGCTGTTTGCAGCCGCCATGAACTGCAGCCCAGCCATGCCTGCCTATCTTGATGCCAACTGAGTGTGGACTGAAACCTCCAAAAACTGTAAAAAGTAAACTTTTCCTTTCCCAGCTTGGGCTTCAGGTATTTTGTCTCAGCAACGAGTAAAAAGTAACAAAGACAGAATTAATAATGACTAAGACAGAATTAATAATAGAGGTATTTGGTAAATGCCAAGACTTTTAAATCAAGTTTTTCTTAATAACAGTTTAAAAGCCAACTAGATTTATGAGAAAATTTTAAAAAATTTCCCCAAATTCAAAAATAAAGTTCACAAAGTAATAGTGCCAACAAACGCTATTCTTTGTCTCCTAGTCTAACTTTCTGAGAACCAGTATCCATTGAGCTAATGTGTGCCTTGCTGGAAGCTGTCGCGGCTTCACTCATCCTCTGATAAGCTTCTCCTCTGAAGCTATGTTTGGGTATATTCAGCTAGTGGGCTGGAGTTCTTAATTAAGAGGATGTTTTTCTTCACAATCTTCCTAATCACCAGTTTTCATTTAAACTGAGACTTCAGCTGTCTCAGTGTCAATGCGTTTAGCCAGAAGGGAATTCTCTTTCTTATTCTGTTTTTTAACTAACCTGAAAACTGAAATAGAATGGTTTTAAGACTCCAAACTATTTACTTGTATATGATAAGTTGGAAAAAAAGCATGATGTTCAGTTTCTGTGAATTCTGTGAAAAAAAAATTTTTTTTGGAATGGTTTTTTTACTTTCAAATTTTAATGTGTGAGTCTGAGTTTTGATGTCTCTTCAATACACATTCACTTTGTCCCATGAGATGGTATGTGGTGACATGAAACTGCTTTCTATTCTGAGCCCTTGTGTATTCGATGAGGCTCCTCGGCTTCCCCAGGGGTCTGCATGCCACCGAGGTGCTCCTCAACCCTGTGGAGTTCAACTCATGCTTCGTGGCACAGAAAAAGCCCCACATGGAGAGGCAGTGCTTCTGGGGGTAGCCTATGCCTTGTACCTGGTGGAGGCACCCCCAGAACTGACTGTGGACTGTGGAACTTTCTGAAGAGGATGCAGTATGTGCTGCTGGAGGTGGAAGTGTTGGAGGCTCCTGGAATGTGAGAGTCTGGACATCCGTCCTCCTTCGGCCATGTGATTCCATCATGCTGCTGAATAATGAGGAAATGGACACCTGTGCCAGACACCAGCATGACTCCTTGTGATCCTGTGTGTATTTGTGGATGAATGTTCTGTTGTTCTGCCGGGCTCACCTCCAAACCTTGATCCAAAGCTGTATGTTCCTGTCATCGATATGAGCATTTGTTGTGATTGTCATCAGAAACAAACAGTTATTAAGGCGGAAAATGCCTTCTCTAAAGCATGAAGTTGTCACATTGGTTTTGCTACAGTGATTTGTCTTTTCCATTATTAGCATGGTTTCAACAGGAAAATATTCTATGACTTTATTTTCTATGATGTTATATACGTTTTTCTAAGATCAATGTAGGGTTTGATGGTTAAGAAAAGATTTACAGTAATGCCATTCTGAAATTTTTGCATAGTGGCTTCCTTTGGTTATTTAAGCATAGCTTTTCTTTAACTATAACAATTTCCAGAAGGCTCTGTGATTGCTTTTCTATTTTCACAGATTAATGAAGAGCTGTTAAAAAAGAGTTAAACTACCATGTTACTTTTTTTTTTCTTTTGGTACCTGGAATCGAACTCATGACCACACACTTGCAAGGAAGGCATTTATGATGTTGAGCTAAATCTCTAGCCATCCATATTACATTTTGGTAGAGGACTTTCCTTTTTAGGAAAAATAATTTTGAAAATAAAGAAAAAGACAAAAAAAAACTTTTCCTTATTTATACAATTTGCAGATAAAGTATATATATTATACTTGGACATATTATAATATATGTGTCTTTTATTTATAGGAGAACTAATGTAAGACAATAGAAGCATTACCATAATTGTTATTCAAACAAAATAATTTCAAAACTAGGATTATCTTATATTTTCTCTATCCTAACCTTTTGGTTTTGCATATGATGTGAGGAAAGTGAAGTAGCACATCTTCATAAATGTGGTAGCAGAAACATTGAAATATCATCTCATTTAATTTACAAGTATTTTCCATTTTATGTTGGTATTCATTAGTTGGTGGTGATAAATGATATTTATCAGAATAATTATGTTATTTTTTAACTATGGTTTTAAAAATGTTATTTTCTATATTCTTACCATTTAGGTATAAATAATTGTTTATTTTGATTGACACTCTAATATATCAGGAATAAAAAATGTTTTGTGTAATTTAAAAACATTGTCTTTTTAAAAAGCATGAGAAAGGCACATTTATGTCTTTGTATATAGGTTATTGCTGATGTGGTTTTGGTTTCTAAAAAATTGATATGCCCAGAATAAACAAAGCTAAGCTTAATTTGTAATACTAAATTCAATTTGAACATGTCCAATTGATTTAAATATCTAAGTTCAATTTTGTTGACAATTTAAGATGTCATATAGATTAATACTTTGTGCTTTGTTTTGTGATACATTGATGTTATGAAATTATAATGCAGTTCAACTTTCACTGTATTTTAAGCATAGTTTTTGAAGTTTGAAATAATAATAATACCAATAATATAATTCATCATATGATACTATATGACAGGCATCATACAAAATTCGTTATATGCATACATTTTACATATATAAGTTCTAGAAGCAACATTTTAAAAATAAAAATAAGGCTCAAAAGGGTCTATAATTGAATCAATGATTACATACAAAATGGCACAATAAACTTCAAATTGGGCCATCATGGTTTCAAAATACTTGCTTGTAACCACTAATGTATTCATTGTGGAGCTGGCATTCAAGGAACAGATGTTCCAGAGCTATCTGTTATATATTCAGGGAGCCCATTGTTAAGTTATGGGCTATTTGCAATGAGCAATGGCAGAAGTATTTACACCATGTAAATCAACTATAATGCTACCAATGAAAACTTCTTTCATACTCTTTCTTCTCCCCTACCAGTTACCAGCACAAACTGATTTTATTGCTAAATCTTGTGAATGTTTATTTACGTTTCAACTTACAAGTGCCAATACCAGAATTAATTTTTAAAAATTTTACAGTAAATAGGTATTGTCTATACGCTAGCATGCATTAAGAAATTTAGTAAGAATCATTATGGAAGGAAGTATGCTAACATTTACTGTCAAAATACCTAAAACAATTTCTGAAAGAAAAATGTAAAATGATGACCTCTCTTTTTATTTTAGTGATAGTGGAGAGCGGACACATCATTTCTTTTGTGGCTTATGTTAATCATGGATACTGTAAAATTTATAGAAGTATTGTAGGACTGGTGAAGCTGTCACCAAAAAAAGTAGTAAGTGTAAATTTGTGTCTTTTTCCTAATAATCAATCCACTAATAAATAAGAAATCCTAAATATCTTTTCCAGGACTTACTGAACAATAGTTGTGTGTGTGTGTGTGTGTGTGTGTGTGTGTGTGTGTGAATTTCAATACATTTATTCCCGATGTTTTGGTTAGGTATTATTTCTATTATGTTGTAAGATACAGAAATGTAAGCATTGTGATAATCTTTCCTGATCAACAATCAATAACATTCAAAAAATGTGCAGACTGACTTTTCTTGTGTACCACTTCTATGAAATGTAAAGATTTATCATTTTAGTTGGTAGATTCTACACTTTCAAATTCCTGTCAGCTTCATAGGTTGAAGACTACATGCTGTTTTTACGTATTTCTACTCCCCAGAATTGTCTTTACTTTAATACTGATTGGATTTTTCAGTTCGGGGATTCAACTGTTTCTCTGGGGCAAAACTCCACTAGGTACTTTTCTAAAGGCTCCTAATATTTTCACTTTAAATATAGTGATGCTTCTATGAGTTTGCTGTTGTCCTGATATAAACACAAATATAAGTATGTATTTTTGGTTATTTGAATGAAATTTATAATCTAATTTACATAGAAGTGATTTATAAATAATTAAATGTATTATGATAACAGTACATAAGCCAGGGATATAACTGAGTGGCACACTGCCTGCCTAGCAAGCACAAGGTTCTGAGTTTGATTCTCATCACATAATTACTTATTCAGTTTGTGCAAGTTCTCTCATTCATCATCTATCTGTGTGTTTTGCAGAAGAAAACTCAAAAACTTGTTTACATGGGAAAACTCAAAGAGAAGGAATCATTCGGTGAGATTAGTGTTCTTCTTCAAGTTCCATTCTCCTGTACAATCATTGCTGGCAAGGATGTTGAAATTGGAATAATTGAAGACAAAGACATATTCGGTAAATGCATAAATTGTCATTTAATTCTTACATCATTTTATTGGGTAAGATTTGAAAACAATGAATGTATTTTATAGGCAACTTGATGCAACTCAGGTGAGTGTGTGTGACTTAGAGGGATTACATACACAAACATATATTAATCTCCCTTTCATGTAATATTCAGACTCAAATATGTTATTTTGGGTTTATATTAGCAATATTTCAAAAGATTTTGACCTGCAAGTACTAAAATCTCCCCAATTTACTATTAAAAGCAACCATCTCATCTGTTCTTAGACATCACTTAGTTTCTATGTTTAAGGTTATTGCCCTTTTCTTTTGGTTTATGCCAAATATGTACTATACTCAATATAGAATAAGGCACAAGTGTACATGAAAATCCATGGCTTTTAGACTGTAAGCCTTCTTCAGAAATCTTAGAGCTTTACGAGTAATAAAATAATGTATATGTAGCCACTGATATTTGTGCTTAGAAATAGTAGAAATATTAAAATAAAATATGCAATTTTGTATCAGGAAAAAATGCATAGTACTTAAGCAGTACAATCTTTAAAATGTCATTCCTTGTATAATTGAAGAATGTCGAGCACTGGGTAAAGGGTGGAAAAGGAAAAATTTGTGGCAATTATCATGGGTGAGGGTGTTAGGGCCGACGCCGCAGGGAAAGAGACCCCAAGGACTCAATTCTTGGTGAGGGAAAAAAGTTTATTTCCATGCGCATGGGGTCCCCCAGGCAAACAAGTGCGGAGGGGCCCCGAAGGGGAATTGTGTAGGGTTTTTAAGGGCGCAGGGAGGCAAGCGAATTTACAGAAGCAGATTGCATTGGTTAATTTTGAGCAGGATAGGACTTGGCAGAAGTTGATTGGAGGGGTTTGGGGTTGAGTAACCATGGAGACTAGCCCAGTCACTATGTGCCCAGAACAGAACAGTTACTTGTCTTACTTATCTCCTTGAGACAGAACAACCTTGCAGGTGCATTTTTTCTTTTTTTTTCCTCTGCTCTGATAGCTCTGGGGAGTTAGGCATTTCTTTCTGCTCTGCTCTGATAGCTCTGGGGAGTTAGGGAGTTAACCCTTTTATTCCCCGCTCTGGGGAGTTAGGGAGTTAACCCTTTCATTCCCCGCTCTGGGGAGGGGGTTATAGCAGGGGGGTCAACTCTCACATTCCCCCCTTTTCTTTTTTGATGACTTTTAACCTTAAAGGTCCTGTATTGGTAAGGGGTCGTACTGTTGACGTAGCATCATAACCTTTACTTGAGAGATCTGAGCCCTCACAAACTGGGTTACTCGGTTAATGAGGTAAGGGGCTATAGCCATGACTATAATGAATCCAGCCAGGGGTCCCAGTAAAGGGAGAATATAGGGCAGGATTGATTTCCAGAAGGAGAACATTTTGGCTTTATTTGAAGGGGGCTCTTGAGATTTAATTTTTTTTCTTAGCTTTTTTATTGCATCTGTTTATAACCTTGTATGTGTCTTTAAAATCACAAGCTTTTAAGAACGTTGACATAGTTTATCAACTTGTTTACAACATAAGGCCCAGTAGGAGGATTAACAAAGGTCTTGTAGTTGTCATTAAAGCTGTTAACCAAAAGGAGAAAGAAAACCAACATTTAAATTTACTTTGTTTTATCATACAAGTAACAATTTTTAAGTCAGACAGAGGCCTCTTTGGGGTCTCTATAAAGGAGGAGAACACAAAATTATCAGTTATATTAGACAATCTTAAGCTTTAAAGTGTCTTTGGTAGAAATGACAGTTTACTTATTTGTAGGCTGACGGTCTTTTGAAGTTGGGACTTGTCTGCATTGGGAACGTTGAATTTAGGCAGGCTTTTAGCTATTTTGACAATCTATTGCGGCTTAAGAGATTTACGGTGAGGTCGCTCTCAAGAGATTTACGGTGAGGTCGCTTGTCCAGGTGTCTAGGCTCTTTAGCTGCAGTGGGCAGCAGCGAAGTAACCAGTGGATGGAAGTCACAGCTAGCTGAAAAGTCTGGGGAGACTTAATAAGATCTTGATTAGTTAAATTAGCTAATTTTTAGAAACCTCACATAAAACCTCAAAAGAGGAAATATCTGTAACATAGGGGGTGTATCACGCATGTAAAGGGGCAGAAGGAAAAGAGACTCACCCAGTTTTTGCCAGTTTTTAAGGCCATTAGTAATTATAGTCTTTAAAATCTAACTTATCTTTTTACCTCTCCTGAACTCTGAGGCTGGTAAGCCCAATTGAGTTTTTTTTTTTAATTGATCTGTAAAGCTTAGGTTAATTTGAGTTACTAGGCTATAAAAGCCAGGCCATTGTTGGACCCCACGGATAAAAAGGGAGACCAAATCAGAGAAACTGTTATCAGAGCTGACTCAGACTAAGTAGAAAACACTTATATTTTTGAAGTTTAGGCTTTTTATTTTTGTAAAATCTATTTTTTAGTGTTTTTAGGCATAGTCCCACGATAACCAGTGGTTTTTATTTGTTGTAGTACTTTTAGATTTATCAATTGGCACTGAGGGCATCTGAAGCTCACAGACTGGGCTAGCTTGATATTAGCCCCCGGAATCTCTTGGAAGCTGAGCTGTCAGATGTTGGTCTTTTTAAGTGTAAATGGGCTCTTGAGAGACATAACTGTTTTCATCAGAGAAGTAGGATGGAACTGTAGACAGTAGCTTATCAACTAGATAAGGTCGATGTTCCGTGAGGTGATCAATGAGGCAACCAGGGGTCATCCTCAGGCAGCAAAGTAGCCGAGTTTGAAGCTGCTGTTTCCAGAAATAGTGCCTGATAATGTATGGCTCCGAAATTAGACATTCATCAGTCTGGTGGGACCTTGATGAGAGTCTCCAGTGAATAGGAGGAAACAATTAAGAGTTTGTGTCCAAAAGTCAATTTTTAAGCCTCCTTTATGAGGGGGCCATTGAAGAAATCACCGCAGACAGGGTGGCCATCTGGTTGCCACAGAACCAAGTCTCTTGGAAAGGTAGACAACAGGCCTCTGCCAGGGTCCCAAACTCTGGATCAGTCCTGTGGCTCTTAGAAATTTTGTACTTGTCTTTTAGTCACAGGGACTGGAATCCGTTAGATGGCTCACAACAACCAGTGTAGTCTTTTTTTGTGTAGACTGGTTCTGATAAGGTCGGGGGGACTCGCATCAGAGCAGTTACTTTTTTGGCTGGCCTCTCTCATGTGATTGTTACTCTTTCAGCGGCCTGATCTGTCAAATTGTTTCCTCAGGTGAATAGCAGTAATCTGCTGACAGCCAGACTGCTGTCAGCAAATTTAGGATTTGTGGAGTCCTCTTTTTTTTTTTTTTTTAATCTTAGCTCTGGCCAAGGTTAAGAGACCTCGCTCTTAATAGATGGCTCTATGTATATGTATAGTAGCAAAAGCATATTTACTATCAGTATAGATGTTTACCCTCTTTTTTGTGGCTAGTTTTAGTACATCAGTCAAAGCAATGAGCTCCGCCTTTTGGGCAGAGGTGCCAGGCTCTAACCCTTTAACCCAGAGTACCTTCTTTTTGGTGGTCACTGCTGTCCCGGCCACTCATCTGTCTCTGCCGTTTTGGATGAAGCTGCTTCCATCGAACAGTTGTCGGCATTTTTTAAAAGCTGGTCAGTAAGATCAGCCTGTAGGTTCCGCTGTAGTTTGAGGATGTCAGCACACTCATGGAGAGGTGTCCTTTGTTCCTCCAGGTCATCATCAGGCATAAGGGTGGCTGGGTTTAAAGCTGAAGAAGTCTTGAATATCACTGACTCTGGGTCTAGAAGCAGGGCTTGACAGTAGAATTCTGGCATTGGAGAGCCTTTTTTTAGGAGGGGTTTTGATAAGAGTCTCTAAACTGTGAGAGGTTACCACAGAAATCACTTGCCTAAAGCGAGTTTCTTTGTCTCCTTAAGTAGCATTGTCACAGTAGCTAGTATTTTTAGGCAGGGGGCCATACTCCTGTTACTGGATTAAGTCTTTTGGAGAGGTAGGCTATGGGCCTCTTTTAAGGGCCAATGTCCTGAGTTAGGACTCCTTTGGCAATGTCCCTGAGTTTATCTATGAACAAGGTGAAAGGCTTGGTAACGTCAGGGAGTCCCAGGGCTGGGGCCTCTGTCAAGGCCTGCTTGAGCTGTTGGAAGGCCTGTTTATATTTATCAGTCCAGTTCAGCGAATTTTGAGTTTCTCCCTTATGGGAGTCATATAGAGGCAAGCTTTTTAGTAAAATTTAGCCTACAGTATCCAATTGTCCCTAGAAACTCTCGTCTGTTTTTTAAAGTTTTTTTTTTTTTTTTTTTATAACACCTTGGCTATCTTTTTGTAAATTTTTTAGTTTTTAAAGACCTTTTTGTGCTATCTCTATTAACTGGCTGAGGGGCATTTTCTTAAACCTCTCAAACCTTTGTAATTTTTGTCTAACATGTGGGGCCGACTGAGTTACAAAGAGAACAACTGGCGATACTGGGAAACCTCCTTACCTCTGGATGTCCAGTCAGGGTAGCACAAAAGGAGAACATGGTTTTGGCATTCCGGATCAGAGAGCCGGCTTCATCTGGATGGCACACTGTTTTTTTGTCCAAGGGTGTCACGTGACAGGCCATCATTTTACTAAAATTATATTTTTAACAAAAAGGGCTTTTTTATAGGTAACAAAATTGTGCTGCATAATCTCCCAGATGTTCACAGTACATGTAAGAACTTGTATCTTATTTGTAGTATCACCTATAATCTCATTTTAATGGAAACATTTTGCAGCAAAGTACAATCTTATGTATACTTTTATCAAAACTGATCTAATACTGTCAAATTCTGAACACATTTACTTTTTGTCAAACCTGTTATTTGTAGTATTATAAATCAAGACAAATACAAGACAAATAAAATTTACATCCTCTTGAGTCTTCTACAACTTACAATAATATCTCTCAAACTAAGCTTTAATCTTTTTTTACATTCTGGCATAGCCAGACACCTTTACTTGAAGACCACTCTCTTTGTCCCTCTTTTTACTATTACCAGTCAATTACCTTTTTTCTCGTTTCTCAGACAACATTAAAAACTCACAACAGAACCCTTGAAGTCACCTTCTAGTAGTCTAAATCATATTTAATTATTTTATGTCTTTTTACCACATAAAAATGTTGTATTTTAAAAACAAAACTGTAACCTTTTAACTGGCTCAAATATACTACCATCTGGTTTTTACTTGGTAAAGTTGATATGATTTTTAATAACCATAGATATACATATATATGTGCACATGTTTACATTTTTACCAGAGAGGAAAAAATACTCCTTTTAAAAGGTATGCTGAGGTTGCAAGCAATCAATTGAAGTCTTACATATTAAACAAGGCGCCACAACATTAAAGACACAAACAAAGGGAGCTTTTTGTACAGTTTGGTCAGCTAAAGGAAATAATTTTTTTTATCATGAACCTTTAATCTAATAAGCCATATGGATCCTACAACAGAAATGGGCAAGAAGCCCCTAAGTTAGTAACAAGTTTAAATAGGCAACCAAGGAGAGGGCGGAGGAAGGAAGGGTTTTACCCACGGTGGGGGCTCCTCCCTGAGGTCCTGTCATACCAAGATGTAGGCGATCCGGTCGGGGTGGCCCTCTCGTCCAGGGCAGAAGATGATGTTCTTAACTGCTAAGA